TGCGTAAACATTGCATTAACTATTTATATTTTCTAACTTAGTTAGATATATGATCACAAAGCCTCACCATCAATCTTCGTATTATCCCTCTCCCATTGGTCTAGATATGCATTTGGCTTTTCTTCTGGCATTTCAGGAATTTATGGGTGGTGGGATGGCACTCACCTTTCACTCAGGCTGCCGGGATTCAATTCCCCGATTGCACGTGAACAGTTTTAGGTCACCTGCCCGACCACATGGGGTTTCCCCGGGTGATCCAGTTTCCGCCCACATTCAGACCCCCACGAGCTGACATCTTTGCCAACAAGGATGATTAAAATAAGATTAAATTTCTTGCTTCATAATTGTTGTAAAATAACTAAAGTATATACTACATTTTAGCAATTAAAGCATTGCGTCATCCATCGTCGCTGATGATCACAACATGCATTGTCTGGTTTTCTAAATTTGGTGTGTCTTGGGTTTTTATAATGGAGGATGGTTATGGTATACATACCAGGCCTTTCTATCAGCTTTTGTCATAGGACGATTGTGTTTACACAATAGCTACATGTATGGTCGAATACAACTGTGTCCACTGATAGTTGCGTCACCCTTATGACGTCAGCAAACTTTCTGTAAGGCCAGTTAACAGTTTCGTTACAACTCGACCGTGTCAACAAGTTATTGGGCCATCCACCAGCTGAGATCACATGATGACGATGTCCACTGAAGGTGAGGCTCTCAAGCATGATGACTGCATCAAGTTGATGCGGGGCCAATGAACGCCTATTGTCCTGGTTCAAAGACTGACTAAGGATTGCCAGGCAGAGACGGACCATTCAAAAGCTTTGGTCACATATATCATGACATGTGCGATTTCTGCAAGGCCATTCGTCAGTTCTTGGATTCCACCAAAATGTTCACTGACGGTGATTGCGCTCAACAGCTTTTGTCTTATGACGAAGCGTCCATTTTAAGAGATCTGTCAATAACTAAGACCATTTGACACTGTGCCCATACGACAGCCATTGTCATAAACGTATGACGAAAGTAGATATAACCGTCGATTGCGTGGTCATATCGGTCACGTGACTACCGCATCATACCACTGGCTATAGGGCCGATCAAATATGCTACCACATTCAATTCATCCAAATTGGACACATAGGTATGATATCGTCATGATTATAATTGTAACCAAAACGTATGCCCGATGCCCAGGCAGAGGCCTTTAAAATGAAATACAGGATAAAAGAGAAACTTTATGAAAACAACAGCAGACACAGCAGGCATCAGATTTCCAGATAATGCCCACAGTAGAAATAAACACCGACACCTGATGAGCGCGTAAAATGGACACTTTGATAATGGCCACATTAACTGGTCACTAAAAATCAAAGTATATCGTTAAACTGCAAATAACACCGAGGGGATGTAGTTTATTATCGAGAATTTAATCACGTTTACACAATAAAACGGGACAAGCAATCACTGCAAGAGACCATAAACCCACTAATATCAGCACAAACGATGTCCAAAACAGTGTAATGCCAAGTCCTTATTGTCACAAACACTTCGTAATTTAAATCGAATATGATCACATTAGCACGTATAAGATGTGTCTGATAGTATCGCACCTTTTAAATCTCACGAATGGAACACTCCTCGACATTCTAACTCGTGATTGAACAGGTAATAAAACTGAAAACATTATTTGAAGCATGTGGTGTAATCTAGAAACGAGTGTTATGGGTAAAGTATGCGTGTTGACAACAAAGTGGTATAATATCGGCGTAAAGGTTTAAACAAGATATGTGACACGTGTTCATGACGTCTTAAGGGGACATTCTTCCTCCCTAATGATCATTTATTGGTAGAAGTCAGCCATCAATTCTAGAAATAGATATTTATAGAATTGTGTACGGAAACATGAAAGAGTTTGCTGTAATAAGAAACAGTTGCCTTGACCTGATCCGCAACCTGTTAACGCTCTCTAGAAATATGGAGTATGGACTAAAATAATAGCAGCAGGTATCTCAGATCTTTGTGATTTAATTATACAGGGTGACATAATGTTGTTATCATTAATGACTATCACATATAGGATACAAACGCAGTGCAGACTCAAAGGAACGCGTAATGGTGGCGTTATCCGGGAAATATAGCAAATGACCAATTAGAAGAAATAATTACAACGTTAAATGTCAATGTTTCTCGCCAAATACAAGTTATCGGTGGAGAATCTGACCATTATGTACATGTAATAAGACCAAGCGAAGCAATAACAGCATTTCACCATAACATTCGTGATGTCATATCACATAACGGTCATGATTATACAAACATCGACGTTAAGAGCCCACACAGCTAACACTAAAAAAATATGTTCGGTGATAATTTAAAGCAAAGCTTCGATGGAAAATACAATGAATATGCAAATACACAAACACCAGCTGTTAAAAGCGTACATAAATAACGGATATCAGACGATTGTCGATTTCTAATGAATCAAGGTGATTAATTTCATTTCGCGTACCGCTTAGCGAATTTTTAATAGACAGGTATTAACAAATTATAGTAACAGAATATCTAGGCGGAACAAAATTGTATTTCGAGCCGACAATCGATGAAATATGGGCAAACTATTAACAAACGGCATATTATTAAGACGGAGACCCTAATAAAGCACAGGGTGAATAGGAGCACGTGTTCCGGATGGGCTAACGTCTCCTGCTTCGTCACGATCTGCCATGTCGGATTAAGTCAAATTTTAACAATATCATGTTTTTATAGTGAAAAATAAGGTAATGACAACGAAACCTCAACAAACAATAACAAGCTTAATCAAAATATTAGATTTTCATATTGTACTAGGAAACTATAAATATTTCAAAATAATATTGCGATTTCGACTATAAACTTACATTCTAAAGAACCAATTTAAATGCACAAGAATGTCGTTTGAAACGCAATCCACGGGCACGTGATGAAAAATCGTGTTAATACAAGAAAGCAAATATGTTCAGCATTGTCCAGTCTGTCGTGTTTTATTTTTAAGTTATGCAAAGAATATATTTCGAATCAAGAATTAAAACCTATCTCTCTCACATGACAATTTTTTGATGTAAAAGGGTTATTATAATTATGATCACGTACGAGTTCATTTGATGGTGAGGAAAACAGGACTGAGGCCCGTTCTCTGCCGCCACAATTACCAATACCGCACTACGAGGCGTGACCGGAAGCGAGAGTACAATAAATGCGTGTTGCTCCCGACAGCAAATTAACTTCCGCTCGTGCCACAAAATAGCGGGAATTGGCACATCACCTTATATAGACCAATACTTATATTCAATTTACGGTTCTAAAGACTACTCGCCCAGATTAGAGGATGTGTGGTAATGGCACGGGAGTAGGATCGTTACTGGGTTATAGACAAGAACTTCCGGTTCGTCACAGGGCATCATACGGAGAATTCAGGCCACTTCCATTATCTGTTATGCTCAAAACAGTAATGCCTCTAAATATATCTGTTTATCAAAATCTACGATTCTATCAAGAAATAATGCAAATCAACTAAAATGGACCAACAGAACTCTTCCGGCAGAGAATGTCCCTCTGGAGTTAAAACAGAGTTCGTCCTTTCTCTTAAGAACGAAAAACAGAGCTCGAGGACGACTCCGTATATTTAAGGGCTAACAATGGGCTATAAGTAAATCTCCGTTGCGTCAACCATCTAAATTAATCCTGAAACGTGCATCCTGTCCGTTTTAGATAATAAAAGGTGTAGTTTGCACTACTGAGGCTTCTTACCGACACAGGTAACATATACTTACAGACGATAGTACTGACAATTTAAGAAAGCCGTAAATGTTTGGCTTGTTTGTGTTTAACGTCCTAGTAACAACTACGTTCATTAAGGACGTGTCAAGTTTTAGTGATGGAGGAAAGTTGGAGTTCCCACAGAAAAAAACAACGACCTACGGTAAGTACATGAAGACTGCCTCACGTAGGTCTCGAACCCGCGAACCAGTGATGGAGGGCTAGTGGTATCAGAATGTCAGACGCCTTAACCGCTTGGCCACCGCGGTCCCCGTAAACCGTTCAGAACTATTTTTCTAGAGCGGATGACGACGAAAGGGTATGATGAGTTATTTGACGACACAGGACGTTCCCTCGTAACAATCGTTTCCCTTCCAAACTTGTCAATTGCATAACATTTTGTCTGTAGTAGTGTTCATTTAACACGAGCTACGTTCATGAAGTGATGAACTTTATATACGCGTTATGTTCGCTTTACCCGTTATGTGTAGCGGTGGTCATTACGGTCTTAATCTACGTTTGACACGTGTTTATGATGGCTAGAGAATAGCTCACTATCACTGTGTAATGGTTCCGTCTATGTGTTTTCAGGGTCAGTTTCCGTACATGTAACACCGATTTGTCTACACAAAGTAATTGACCAGCATCCCTTGCTTGCTGCGGTGACACGTCACGGTCTATATAATGTCGGAGAGTATGGCATAATTAATCAGATACAGAATGTATCTAAATATAGCTACGTACAGACAATCACATTATAAGTTCAATACAGGCTAAATGACTACAGTGATACAAATATTGGATATAGGGCATGCATCTGTATGTGAATGATTTCTATTTTGTTATTAAACAATAACCCTATCTGGCGGAAGTCATAAGTATACGCGTGTTATTTACAAAAAACATGTTAATCTTCTACGTCTGCGTGTGTGCGTGTGTGTGTGTGAGGGCGGAGATTTATGGAGAAGAATATGTAAACATATCAACTTTTTAAATCAGTTTATATTTTGATTAAAGAAATGTGTGACTCGATGACTCGGCCTTATTTTTACTACTGTTTTTCTTAAAATAATTTAAATCGGCGGTAAAATATGTACCATATGGACAGAAATGACTACAGGCAGCGTGTCGATCGCTCCACAATTGCCAATTTTTTAACTAATATTTTATCACCGACTGTACACAGTGAGCCCTACCTTAGAGGAGAAGTGTGCTCATTCCTCAACGTCAACACTCAAGCTACCGGGTGTGTCCATCGTGATATTGTTGACCGTTCTGAACGTCAATGGGAGGACTTGCCAATCACCTGACAGCCACAACGCAGAACATCGCCCTGTGAAGACAAAAGTCGGAGGAAATCCATGAATAAATAGATAGATTGGCAGTAATGGCATCAACCATCATCTATAATAAAAACATCATGTCCTCAAAAAATCGATAAAGGCTTTTCACAGTTTTTACCTACGCTTAACTCATAGTAAAGACATCCGGTATCGCACTCAATCAGAAGCAAGCTTAATACCACCATCGGGATGTCTTACTTGTACATATATATGTATGTGTATGTGTATCCGAGAGCACGTGGCAATTAATATGCTAATAAAACACTAATTTCAAGAAAAAAATACCAGCCTCAGACATCCCGACAGAGCCAATCCAGTAATATCCAAAAGATCGACTAAAGCTTGGCTGAAAAGATCAGGTCTGTCTATAGTGTATCGGGCAGGGCTGATTCGCCCATCTCTTTTTCGCGGGCTTGACAGTATCAACTCATACGTATACTCTACTAAGAACAACACTGTCAAGTCGAGATATTTCCCCCCTGGTAGTAACAGTGACTTGTGAATAAAAAAAAAAATCGATATGTAGCAGTTCCAGCTATCTCTCATGTCCACCTGTGTGAGGACGATGCTGCGAAGCTTCCGGGGATGACGCGAGACCCGCGTTTATGTGTGGTCATTGTAGGTATATATATCAAAATACGATCTCAATACAGCTGGCTTCATCGATAATTTATGCATTAAATATTAGTCTAATTATTTCTATCATTTACAAGGACCCAGAGTCGCGACATTTCAATCAGTACTTTGATCTCGGGGTTTTGGTTTTTATATACAGGGTAAATTAACGGTGCGTTCGATTCATGGCGGTTTTAGTACATATCGATGACAGACGATTGTGTGTTTCAGCGTACAGTATGGTATTGTTTCACGGTGTCAATTGAACACGCGTGTTGTTACCTACTGGGGACCCGGTTGGTTTATGTAAACAAGCCTCAGACTGACTGGTTTGATGTGCAGTAGTAAAATCCTCTGATCCATGAAGATATATCAATATTTTGAAACATCACATGAAAAAGGCATTAAAGCTGATACAACTGACTCTTACGATGCATTCAGATAAGACTACGTCCTTGACGTATTGTCGGGTAGATTCCCTTTCATAAACAAAATTTTTGAGGGAAAAATACCCGAAAGAACATTTTTAATTTGTTTTTCCAATTTACTTGTTGATCTCCTACTTATTTGTTAGATGTTGTCATACTCTTTGAGTATAACCATATCGTAATTACGTTCTTGTGATTTGTTCGGTGTGATGTTTTAGCACGAACAATCAATGAAGCCTCGTCTCGATGTTATCACGTCTTTATTGTAAATTGTCTGGTAGAAGGGACAATTGGTCAGGGATAATGACACTATCTCGTGATCCGCACTCTACATAGCACTATGTGAGGTAGTACCGGGTGACACGCGACAGGGGTGAAGTGTCCCGAAGTGACGGCAGACTACAGAAACCAAAACTTCCCGAAAACTCAAAACGCTGGGTGATAATCATAGCTTCCGGGAAACATTACACTCTACAGCAACTAAGATCCAGGGTAGCTTTAGACTCTACCGCTGCTCAGATACCGAGCAAAAATAGACGCTACAGTAACTCAGCTCCCCAGTAAAAATAGACGCTACAGTAACTCAGTTTCCGAGTAACAGAAGACTCTACAGTAACTCAGCTCCCCAGGAAAAATAGACTCCTCAGTAACTCAGCTCCCCAGTAAAAATAGACGCTACAGTAACTCAGTTTCCGAGTAACAGAAGACTCTACAGTAACTCAGCTCCCCAGGAAAAATAGACTCTACAGTAACTCAGCTCCCCAGGAAAAATAGACTCCTCAGTAACTCAGCTCCCCAGTAAAAATAGACTCTACAGTAACTCAGCTCCCCAGGAAAAATAGACTCTTCAGTAACTCAGCTCCTCAGTAAAAATAGACTCTACAGTAACTCAGCTCCCCAGTAAAAATAGACTCTACAGTAACTCAGCTCCCCAGGAAAAATAGACTCTACAGTAACTCAGCTCCCCAGGGAAAATAGACTCTACAGTAACTCAGTTTCCGAGTAATTGAAGACTCTACAGTAACTCAGTTTCCGAGTAACAGAAGACTCTACAGTAACTCAGTTTCCCTGAAGTCCCTGTACTCGCCATCTCACATCTGACACGAGGCGACTAGTAGGGAATCATGTTTACCTATGATATTGGATGACCATAGTTGATAAAAGGACGTGAAATAAACAAACAAGATTATGTTCTATATCACAATGAAGTTGATCATATGTTGACCGTCAGCCGAAGTTATTATTTTGGTTTGCTTTATGTTTGACGTCCTATTATAACAGCTTTGGCCATTTAAGGTTTTGGTGGTGGAGGAAAGCCGGAGTACCCGGATAAAAAACAACGACCTGCTATCAGTACCTGGCGACTGCCCCATTTGTGCCTCGAACCTGCAACCCAGTGGTGGAGGACGTTTGGTAACATAATGTCAATCCGCCTTAACCACTTGGCCACCGCGGCCCCTGTAGTCATTGAACAACAGTACGACGTACAGATAAACTGAAGCAGGTTAGCTAATCAGTTGGCCCGTGTTATTTTGAACAACAAATTCAAGCCGTTTCTTCGTTTTTGCAGTGATGGTGCATTGTTTTTAAGATTATAACCATGGGCTTGTTGGGGTTTTAATGGATTGGCTGTTTGATGGCAATTGTGCTTGTCTGATAGATTGACTGGATTGTGCGATGCCTTGCTTAGATATAATGGTAGTTAGGGTCGGTACAAAATCATAGAATCTCCAACTACCGGTAGACGAGCACTCCATCATGTCAATAGGGCGCAGACAAGTATCTGATCAATGTCATTGAACGTTCAGCATTTGTGATGAACAGTCTTCAGATGGCGTCCCAGTGCCATTCAGCTGCATATGAAATGTATGAAATGCAAAAATGGCTTTTTGCCACCAGCTACAATGTGTGTTATAAATCCGGAAAATGTGTACGATGTCTGGATTGTGTTTAGTAGCAGGGTGTATAATGTACACCGTTTTATACAGAATCAATACATACTAGTTCTGATTTAGTTATCTCATCATCTTCTTGATAACGCTATGCTGTACCTATTACGACCAGGATGCTGCATGAATAGTGTATTATTTTAGCTGGAAATTAATGATCTTATTTTATGTGGTACAGACTCTAAGATCACATGAGCAAAGGTATAATGTTAGCAATAATTGATCCCCTTAAGAAAACACGTTAAGAGATCGAAAGGGCGCAGCTGGAGTTGAAATCAAACAAATTTAACATCAGCGATAACACGAAACCCTTTTAATTTATAAAACATGGGTACAAATGTGTACTAAATGAGATATATTTTGTGCTGTAAAAAAGAGTGAAAATATATATTCGATTCCCCCACATGTCCCTCCTAGTCGATTCCCCCCACATGTCCCTCCTGGCAGTTCCAGCATAGGAAGTCATATTGTGGCGTGTACGACTGGATTTGGAACATTATAGCTCCAGCTCGCGTTGGTAGCGATGTTTTGTAGTTTCTATTTCCGGTCAGTGGTAATAAAGACGGCCAGATCAAATAAAATAGATATGTAACGCTAGGAATGGAAACAAGTCGAACATTTCGTAAACACCCAAGATTAAATGTCAAATAGATTCGACGTACCTGTTAGCATACTGGTATTGCTTTAGCCATTGAACTTTCCTTCCTTTTTTTAATTTGAGCCACCGCGATACGAACTACAAATCTACCGTCTTTTACACAAATGCTCACAAAGCTTGTTAATATCATTTAATATTAAGACAAAAACGTTCTTGTACATTCTGGTAAGGATTTTCATTCTTATTTTTCCCTGTTTTTCTTTCCCTTTTTATTCTATTTTTTTTTTCTATCAATATTTGTATTTCTTTTTTTGTTTTTATTTTTACTTTTCCGTAAACGAATAATATTTTAATAAGTTAAGGACTATAGAGTCCTCTGTATGTGTGTCCTTATGTAAACGATATTTCGCAACCACTGAACAAGCAAAGGCAAGTATGCAATATAAGCACACACGTTCAAAGAATAGTAAACACAATTCCTAATCGTGAAATTGCGTAAATAAGGGAGTTAATGGAAAACAAGAAACGCTATTTCAAACACGATGTTTACTTATCGATATATAACGTAAAATGATACCTTGTGGTCAATAAAAACATTACACATGAACTTTGATTACCAAGTGAACTGTGTCGTTAGCAGCAAAGCATCATTTTAAAGTTAAAATGGAAAGCCCTAAATAGCAAAATATGTACTGAACTTCGGTACATTGTCGCTATTATACATTTTTAAACAGGAACCACAACTCATGCTGGTATACAACACATGCCGTCGCTTCTTATAGAATGTTCTGAGAATTACGCAACGGACTCAGCTAAATTTCGTACCTGCTGCCCCATACTGTACTGAGGTTAGTCAGAGTAGGCACAAGAAATCTTCGCCTGATGAATGCTTCGAAAATTTAATTTACAGCTTGATTGTACTTCGTACTAGGTACGGATCTTGTAGAAAATTCAATTATGCTTAGGAAATAATTAGATCAGGGACATTACAGAAACGCTACCTGTCCATAAAACAAGCTTGAAATACACGATAAAATCGGCTACAGTTTGTTTTCCGGAAAATTCTACGTTACGGTTTTGCTTGAGAATATTAGTATAGTCTTGCAATGAACCGTTAATTAAGTATTTTAACACCGTGGTAACTTGCACTAGATTTAAGTGTGTATTGCAAATTGAATGCAAACAGAGTTTTAAGCTGACAACGAATTATTTTTCATTTTGTTTATGTTCTAATGCAATCAGACTTGCAGTTGCAGAACTGTGTTTGAATTACAGAGTGGTGGATTGTTTTCGAACTTGCGTTAAAATATCATCAGCTGATTTGAGTTTTCCTGTGAAGCAAATCATAAAAACGGGACCCAGTAAGTTATAAATGTTTCTCATTTGATATTTGTGCGTAT